CGACAGAGGGGGAGTTTGGAAGTAAAGCGAAAAGAGATTTGCATCGCTGGGCAAAGTGGCGTGATTTCACTTCTCACGGGCTACTTAAACACGCCGTAATTGTTGCCATGACAGTGTTTTTTCAATCTTGAGCTTCTCCACTCTGAAATGCCTTTCGCTGTCACTTTCTTTTTCACTTTCCAACTCGCAATAAATTGCTAAATAAATTGGGTACAAAGGAAGTTTTAAGGTGGGTGTAGAGAGCAGAAAACAGAAAGCAGGGGAGGTGGCGTAACGGTGTTAATGGCAACTTGACCTGCAAACAAAAGGTGAGGACAGCTGTTAGCTGTGGATGTGGAATGTATGTGGCTGACACATCAATGCAATCCAATATGAGTTGCATATATAAGCCACGTTAATATCACATTAGGCCATGTCAACCGCACTTTATGCGATGGTCCTCCCACCCCCTCCCCCGTCGGGAAAATATCTTCCCTTAAAGAAACCTGAAAAATCACCTTTCATTTGTATTCCCTTTGTGGCCCCACGTGCCCTTAAGACGACAGCCCACTCTGCAACTTTGCCACCTCCCTCCCACTAGGACCCAGGCCAAGACTCTCATTAATTCAGCTCAAAAGTATACTTCATTTCCCTCACGCAAATAATACTCACACGCAAAAAGGTGGCATTAAATATCGTTTTAATTTGCTCGCTTTTTTTTCTGTTTTTTAATGGTTTTCTCGTTTTTTATTCATGGCATTTAATGGACGCGAAGGACGACAGCTTTGATTATAATCTTGACAAATATAAGCTTTTCTCTGGGAAAACCCACCAATAAGCAAGGCTTGAAAATTGAAAACTTAAGCTGATTTCTGGCAGTGCAGCAGCAGCAGCAGCAGCTGAGGTTGGAGATCAATTATATGGAAAACCGCACAGAAATCAGCATCGAGGGCAGAAAAGTTTTATTAGGAGCACATTTCCATTTTACACTTTACACTTTACACTTTTCCCACGCTTTACGATGTTGGTTGCTGGAGGTTGCTTGGTGTGCGTATGCAAATTGAAATGGCGGAAAAACACAGATTGCTGATGAAAACAACGTTTAAATGATGCTTTTTTCCAAACCCACCCCGCCCCCCAACCCTCTCAGCCAGATGAAGTACATCAATGCCAGGACAGACAGACATTTTTTCTCCTCCTCCAAGAGTTGCAAAAATATTTATATATAATTGAAAATCAATAACCATGTCAATAAAGTGTGTGCGTGTATGTGTGTGTGTGTGTAAGTGTCGATTTTCCACTTTTCCAAAAGATAGCGATTGTTATGGTCATCATAAAGTTGAGAATGTGAACAAAAAGCAGAAGGACAATCAATTTGATGGAGTGGCATGTAGGAGGGGGGCAACATTCATATATAGTTTTTCGAGTTTTCGCCCAGTTAACTCTCATTAAAATGAGGGAAAACAACGGGTAATTGCGTCCAACCTCTCCCCTCTTGCTAGTCAAATAAATCCCAAGATTCAGAGCAAACTTTGCAGCCAAAGAGTAGGGGCAAACATAGGTCATGAGGCTGCCACAGAGGAAAAAGTTGCAGCTCAAGAGCAGCTATGTGGTTAGTTTTTTTTTTTTTATTATTATTTGAATTCGTTTTTTTTCTACTTATGCCATTTTGCCTCCCCTCTTAATGTTTTTCCAGCGAATATGTGTGTGTTTGGGGGCGCTGGCATAAATTTGCTCATTACTGAAGCCCCTTTTTTGCCCCTTGAACTGCCAAGAGAAAAAAAAGGGAGAGAAAAAAACCCATAAAAGAAAAACCTCCAAGAATTGCAGTTAGATTTTTGAGACATTTTCCTCTCTAATTTTTCTCTTTCCAGTTGGCCTAATTAATGATTACGTAGACGACGACGACGCCGTAAACCTGATTTCTGTTGCCAAGAAAATGAAAATGAAAAGAAAAAAAAAACAGACAGAGAAAAACCTTTTGTAAAAACAAAGAAAAACTGAGCCAGAATTCAATTAATCATTAATTTGCTGAGCTGTCAGCAACTTGAACGACCACCCAATGGGTGGTCTTCTGTCCATCTACAGGTCAGGGTTCAAGGCCGTTAGAAATCTGCAGGGCAACAAGTGCAGTGTCGACCTTCGTCGTTTTAGCCTCTAAAAAGTGGAAGAAAAACGGAAAGACCTTTTGAAGTCATAAAACTAGACCTGTCAATGTTGACCCTTTGAATGTCCTTCTTAAGTGTCCTTCTTTAAGGCTTTGTCTTAGCTAAGAAGCCTAACCTTTTTTGTATTAGAAAATAAATAAATCTTGATAAATTTTAATTGGTCTTTAATTTGTGTTAATTGGGGGGAACTATTTAGGGGAATTATTTAAGCAATAGTATGATGTCGAAGAAGGATGAAGGTATGTTCATAACTTGCTTAAATGTAGGCGTTAAAAATCTCTTTTAATTAGCAAAAAATCTGTCTGTTTTTTTCCTACTAATTTTAGAAATTTCTGGGAAATATCCTCCTGACTTAAATTCCCTGAAATTGGCTTTGAAAATTTCTTTTTGACTTTTCAAATTAACACAATTTCATTTTTTTCCCCATATCATTGTTTAAGTTTCATTCGAATTCCTTTTAAAAAATCCTTTAACTCTCTTTTTGCGAATTAATTAATTAGTTGCAAATTTCATTAATTAGTTAACTGGCCAACATGTGTTACCAATTTGCAAACTGGCTTAACAACAGAAGTTCATTCTACCCATTTCGATTTGCATAAATAATGGCCATTACCTGCGCTCCAGCAGCTCCTTCAGGCGGCAGCTGACAGAGGAAATCGAATGACAGTGTTGGGTTGTGACGGGGGGGTGGTAAAGGAGGAAATGCCACTGGCCACAAATGCATAATTACAACCATAAATCAAAGGGCGTGGTCCAAGACCACCTTTAGAAGCAATGGCAATGGCAATGGCAAACCAAGGAAACAAAACTCCAGAACGTTGCAGGACATTGCTGCACCTTGACGTGACGATGGCCATAAATTGGTGCCTGCCACCACAGTCCAGCGTGGCAAGTGATGACATTTTCAGATTTACGACCAAAAGTCGACGGCTGCCATGCAACAGATGGTAGGTAGGTAGGTAGGTAGCTAAAAGGATCTCCACCTTCAGAAACGGGTAAGAAACGGGTCTAACTGAGCCTTCCAAGACAACGCCAAGTGCTTACTCAACAAATTGGCATGTGTGTACGGGTGTGCCTTCTTGTCTGCCCTCCCCTCTCTCTCTCTCTCGCTCGACTTGTGTTTGCCAGCCATTGTTATTATGTTGTTAATAAGTTAGAGCGTGGGCGGCCAAGATGGATATGCCAAGGGATGGCAGGATGTGAGGAGGAGGCTGCGGCACCAGCAGCAGCGTGGTTCCGGCAGTCCCGAAAACAAACTTGCAGCAAGACAAACAACATTACCAGCACGTCTAAAACGACGCAGGAAACAGGAAACAAGTCATGAAAGTGCAGGGGGAAGGATGAAGAGGAGGATGGGGATAAGCATCTGGTGGAGTTCAGGGAAAACGGATGGAGGATGAGCAGCAGCAGGAGGAGGAGGAGTAGGAGGTGGAGGAGAAGCTTTACCAAGAAACACGCGACGTGACGCTGCATAGCGGAATGATTTTCGCAATATTGCGATGGTTAAAAGCAATTCCAGGCTGCTTAGGCTGCGTCTTGAGTGCTTCTCCAAGAAGCAAGGAGCAGCAGCAGCAGTAGCAATACCCAAAGCAAAGGAATCTCCAGCTTTGGATCGATTATGGTACTGTGTGCATATGGAAATTGGCCAGAATGTTGAGCAGCCCGTCTCCTGGAGGGTAATTTGCAATGGAAATGGGGATCAGCCGGGATTAGAAGAGCAGAAGGATTGCATATTCGAGTATCTATCCGTTGCACTGGCCTTGACTCAACCATCTTCCATGCTTGAAGGCTTCTTCGAAGTGGGATCAAGAATAGCTAAGAAACAGGTAAAGGATCCCGCCCCTAGGCATCTCATAAACGAATAATTAGAATGTCCTTTAGCTTGCACTTTGATTAAATAAGCAAATTAATGCCACTTCGTTTCTTGGGTTGCCTCCAAGTTGATTCTACTCCTCCTCCATCCGATGACTCTCCCTAAATGAACTGCCCAAAACTTCATAGGATGCTCTGGAGCATTTCTGACAGGTGTCAGGGGCATTTCTCTCATCTTGAGCCCCCATTCCCACACCACTGACTGACTGACTGGCTATGGAATCACGCCCAAGGCAAAGTGTCTCACAGATGGGTGAACCCAGGTTCATCAGATAGATTCTCCTCCCTCTCTCCCTCCCTCCATCACACACACGCGTGTGTGCCTGGGTAGAAGAGGAGACACAAATTAATGTCTCTGGCTAGCCATGTTTTCCTATCCTGAACTGGACTGGACTTTTCCAAGGACTGAACTTGGGTTCAGTCATCGAGAGAGCGAGAGAGTTGAAATGATTTTAAAGAGGACAATCCCGCACATCCTGCACAGGCACATGGTTGGGGGCATCTATCTACCCATGTGCGTGGGCCTATTTAATCTTTTGAACCCTTGAGGAACCCCCAAAAGAACCTCGTTAAGCTTGGGGAAACCCCCGGCTGTCGTTACGCAGATGCGGGCCACCATAAAATACGGCCATTGACAAGCGGATGCAGAGATGAGATATAGTATATATATATATATAGTCATGTATAGTGTGTGTGCCACAACACTTCTTGCCACAACAAAATATGATTTAAGTCATAAATAAGCGCGGAAATTGTGCGTAAAATCGATGTGGGGGACACACACACAGTTTTCTTAAGTGGAAAAGCGATGTGCATAAGCGGGCGCAATCTAAAATACTTAGTATGGCTATCTTAAAAACTTATGCTGGGAAAACTCCGGGAAATTGTATTTCCTAACGCCCTCTCATTCTGTATATTAAACTGAAGTTATGGGAAAGGGTTTAAGGTTTAAGGTTTTCCCTTAAATAGAGAAAATGACTGTTTAGTACGACAAGAAAAAAGGACATCTTTTTATTATCTGTCAATCTCCATTTACCGATGACTTTACTAGGATTTGCTAAGGACCAACACGAAGACATCATTGGCGGCCTCGCCAGTAGCAAATCCACTTCCTCCTCCTCTCAGCTGCTCCACCTCCAGAATACCTTTAGCCCGTAGGCCAGGCAAAAAAAGGGATGAAATTATCCTCTAAAGCTTTCAGGGGAGCTGTAAGATAAGTGACCTTATCTTCGGGTGATTCCCCCAGGTGGAGTCAGGAGGCGAAGAGCCAAAGCAATGGGCTAAAGACTTCTCCGTTTGCAGATTGGATAGAATCCAACACATGGCCATAATCATAATTTTTCCTTTTCCTTGCTGGATGAACTTGATGAGGATTCAGACTTAAAGCCAGTTGAAGACGTTTTGGCGGAAGCGGCGGCCAATCTGGCCAAACGGAACTGCTGCTGGCGGCGCCGGCGTTGAAAGTACTGGCACGACACCACCTGAACCGAGTCCATGAATCGATCCATGCATGTGGTCAGGCAATCACGCTCCGTGGAGCGCAACTCCAAGCCAGGCAAAGCGACACAGGCATTGAAACAGCGCCGTGAGATCTTCTGGATTAGCTCTTGAATGTTGGCCAACATGATCTGTTGGCGTATTCTTTCCAGGTCATGATGATTGGGTGCCATTCGTCTGTCTATGAACTTGACTTTACCGATTCTGGGACTCGGTGTCGGGTCAGGGTGGAAGGGGCGGGACTAATGATTGTCGGATTCACCAGTTTTCGAACTTGGAGCACTATTTAATTTGGACACGGACCAGGGGGACATAAATGGACTGGCCTACTGGCCTACACTGGCCTATTAAACCCCCCCACCCACTTACCCTGTGCAAACTGGATGAGCTTGCAGAGCAGCTCGCCAAAGATGAAGTGTCTCAGCAGGGTGCCAACCAGGGTGACAGGCATACAGAAGACACCCAGTAGAATGTCCGAAATGGCCAGATTGAGCAGGAATACATTGGTTATCGTTCGCATCCGTCGGTTCTGGACCAGGGTGAGCACCACCAGCAGATTACCAACCACAGCGCACAACAGGATGGCCGAGTAGCAGGGCACCACCCAAATGGGTACATCGGCACTGACCCTCACCACGCTCCGGTTCGCCGGCGTTCGTATGGTTGTCGGCGCTACCCAAGTGGGGGTGCTAGCCAATTCTAGATCCAAATCCAGACCGAGATCTAGTTCTACACCGCTGTAGTTAAAGAGATCGCCAGGTGTACCGCTTATGGTCACCCCAACGGCGGCGACGGCGGTGGCGGTGGCGGTGGCAGAGATATCATGACTGCCATTTGAATGATTAACTGCCTCCTTGGCCAGTGGCAGCGCCTGGCGCAGAAAGCGATAGAAGGCGTCAATCGTGAGGCCGAAACGGATTCGTATATGATCCTTTTAAACCGGACTCGCAAACGCACTAAGCACTAAGCTCGACTTCGTCAAACTTTCACGCAACAAAAATGGGGGTCAGGTCGGTTGAAATTCTGTGACAACGGGACTATGGAGTTCGCGTTCCGCGTTATGTGTCGCGCCTCGCAATCTTCGCGAAGCACTGATGGCATTTTGTCGGCACTTTTTGTGACCAACCAGCCGGCATCCAGCGACCGCAACATGCTGCTGAAGGCTAAGCCTACAATTCACCACAGTCATGGATGGCAACATGTTGCCAACGGGACTTGTTGTTGTTTTTAAACTGGAATTTCCGTTGGATTTTGTTTTTAAAGGGATTTTGATTGATAGTTTACTACACTAAAATGTTTTCTAAGTCATATATAACTTTTTCTATAAGGAAATATATTTCTGTTAAAAGAAAATGTCTTGGGAAAAATGCAAGTTTGATTACCCAGAATCACCACCTTATGGAAGCAACGTTTTGGCTCATAAGCATTATCATTACCAAGAGTCAGTGGTGTTGACAGATTGGCTAGGGAAATTAGGTAATAAAATATCTTTATATAGTAGCTTTATATATACAGGTTGGCCCATGTAGCGTTTGCTTTTTGAACTATTGATAATTTTGACTTTGATATTTCGAATGTCATTGTCAATGTGTCAGATATTTAGGAGAAAGATTGCGGTTTACGAAATGATTAAGTTTACGCTTGATTTTAAAACGCAAATCTTTCGTGGGCCACTCTTTATAATGCCTAAATCTAAACCGTTTATATTCCCAATCAAATATATATTAATTAAAAATCTCGAAACATCATAAATTTCCCTACAAAAAACCCTTTCCAGCTAAAATCTTTAAAAAACCCGCCAAATCTATCTACAAAAAAGATAAATCACTAACACTGCCACCTCAGCATAGCATACATTCCGGGGCGCAGTCAAACAAGATGACAAGATGAGGAGCTGACGGTAGGAGGAGCCTGCTACAATGTTTGGCAATCAGTGGGAGTAACACTGAACACTGAACTGGCTTGAATAATTTGCATGTCTCCCCGGGGAACTGTCGGGGAATCAGTGCCTCCGACAGGAGTCAGGAGACAGGAGCGGAAAAGGCAACGAAAGGCAACATTTGTCAACTTAATTAGCGAAGCTCCGGCGGACTCCATCGACTCCTTTCACCTTCCAGCTTACACCTTTGGCTCATTATTTAAAGACTTTACCGCTGTTTGTTTGCCCTGGGACCCAAGTTTATAAATCACTCCGCCACACTGCCATTGCCCATGAGGAGAAGGAGCCATAAAGTGAAACCAGAGTGGTTACTTTTTCTGGTTTTTCTCCCTGTTTTTTTTTTTTTTTTTCGGTGGCATATACACGACCCACGCGAGTCAGTTCTTGCCTCAACAGGTTGTGCAAGTTGCAAAAACTTTATTTTCCACATTGGTTTCCATTCCGACTGAGGGTAATCGACTTTTGGTGGAGTAAATTAACTGCAAAAGGCCAAGAAAGACGAAAAACTTGAAAAGTTTTAGTGGAATTTTCCAGTGGAAACTCTCTCAAGTGGCGCCCGATCGTTCTATGGAAAGAAAAAAAAAACTTGGCCTGAACGTTTGCCTAAATTGATTAATTCAATTTGACTCTTTTTCGTGAAGAGAGGGAGGGATGGGGAGGGTTCGAGACAAGAGAACGACCCCCCGCGAAAGACAAACTTTTGCCTGGGCATATAAATAATGCTGCAACATTAATTAAAGTGGCCAGAAGCGTTGGCCGAATTAAAAAACCTAGGGTGGGGGGGTTGAGTTCAACTGTTTTTTGGGTGGTTTTTCCCGGCTATCACCACAGCCTCCATTTTATTTATTTACTTTGGGCTTTAATTAATTTTAATTATTGTATTTGCATTTGGCTATGGCTGAGTTGTTGTTGTTGTTTTTCAACTTTATGGTGGAGCAGCGATTGCCGACAGTTAATGCAATTCAGGGAGCCGAAAATTACAGTTTACCATCGTTAATGGCCAGGATTCAGATACAGATACATTTACAAATACAGATAAAGATACAGATACAGTTACAGATATAAATACAACTACAGATACAGTGTAAGGGTAATGATTCCAGTGATTCCACTAAGAACCGAAGCAACAGATACACTGTGAATGCATAATGAAGGCGGTCGAAGGCGGTATGCGTCTGAATAATGAATTAATCGCCCATTTCAGCTGCTTGTTCCCGCGATCCAAAGCCATTTATTACCGAGAACGTTTGGCGCAGCTTTGGCCACGCCATCTACCTCAAAACCACTACACTACACTCTTGTTTGTCGACAGACAGATACTGCTGGCCTTCCTATCTTAAGTTCGTTTTGCAATAATAAACGAGACTACCGACTTCTGACTCCCAACTCCCAACTCCCAGAGTTTTCCCATTTGTAAATTGATTCTTTGTTAGAAGGAAAAACTTTTTGGTCATGAGTCATGTCAAAGCCAAATGTTCCGACCGATTGACAAGACAACATCTACCAAAGCATTAAGTTCACAGGTCAGAAAAACTAGGAAATGACAAGGGAAAAGTGCTTTAAGAGAGACAGTTCCAGTTACGTGGCAATGGAAGTTAAGTTAAATTGTCATTCTTAAAGTTAAATGGTAAATCCGGAAAACCCCTTCAATGAGGTATATTTTCCAAGTGAAAAGTGTTGCCACCAGCTTTCAGTTACGTGGAAATGTACTCCGCCAAGCACGCGACCATAATTAGACTCCAGCCGGCATTAAAGATGACCCTCAGGCGGAATATCCCACGATAAAGCGAGGGACCTCCTGGTCCTTGGGCATGGGATGAGCATTCTGGGGATTCAATTGCGTTCTGTCCCAGCTGCAGGGGGGCGTGACAGCTGCGGCACCTTCTGCGAATGCTCAGCATCACAATCAGCATTAGGATACTACGACACACCGGACACACAGCATACAGCCCAGAGAGAGGGAGTCCGAGTTCCTGCCAGGCGGCTTAGGGACACGCACTTGGACAGGAAGAGCGAGATAATTATGGCAAATGCTTTGGATTTTCCACAGCTCACACAAACACACACACACACACAGTCACAAATGGATATTAAATTTTTGCTGCCGGCTGTGCAAAAGCTGGGCTAATGGAGCGCACATCTGGCTTTGGGTCTCAGGATTTCGGCCAGCACTCTAGGTACACTAGGCAAAAGGTTTAACAAAGGTTTCCCGAGACTTTCTACCTCAGTGCCATGTTAATGATATGGCATTTTCATTTTGCTCTCAAAATAAATATCATTAGGTAGTTAATTTTATATATTTACCTTACGGAAGTAATTAGGTAAGAATAAAGGCGAGTCTCAAGACCAGGTTAAAACCAAATGATGGCTTCGACAGAATAAAAATCGTGGCTTAAATTTTCCTTCTCCCAGACCGACCGACCGACCTTTGCTTTATTGACTTGGCCCGAAATCCTTTATCCTTTATTTTGGCTTTCACTTGAAAATTCCTTCTTAACGCCGAAAACTTTTATTTAACTTGGCTCCTTGTTGTTCTTGCAACAATATTTTACGAGTCCCTTTTTGGTAGCTCTAAGCTTGAATTACGTTGAAATGAGCAAATCCTGATGCCTTGCCCTGGTTTTTTGTCTTGTTTTTTCTGTTTCTTTTTTATTTATTTGTTGCGGGCGATAGCCAGCGCTAAATACATAAATCGAGTCAAGTATAAGTCAGGGTAGAGGGCCGAAAAACACAAAGGATAACCCCCCCACCCAGCTGAAAGGCAATCTGGGTATGGCCAAGGCAGACCTAAGAAACCACTCACTTAGCCAGTTAATTAGCTGAGTTCCTTGGCGATTGATTCAAAATACAAGCCAAGGGTCATTCCCTGAGCATTCCTATGCAAATACCATCATCAACAAGGAGGCAAAAGGACATTCCTAGTTGGGGGGGGGGAAACCCAATTCAGTGATTACGTTTCATCTGTAATTTTACGAGAACCAACCGACCAAGGGGTTATGGTATCCTTTTAATAATTCAAAACATTTCGTAAACGACTGACTGCTAAGGAAATCAAATGGAATGGACCAACCGATAGATATTAATTGAGCAATCAGGATGCCTGCAGGACAGGTTGCCCAAGCGCTTAGCTGGACTGTCAATCAGGACGCGGTCTGGTTGGCTGGGCTCCTTCTGTTTTTATCAGGAAATATAAATTGGGGCCCAAACTCAGCAGTGTGTCTCTGACCATAACCACCCAACAGAACCGAAAAACCAAAAACAAAAAACCTTCTTTCTATAAATAAGAAACACAGGCTGTTCCCCTGAAAATGTATTAATACCTGCGACACGGCTGCCATTTGTAAACTGTTTTCTTTTTCTCAGGATTTATTTTTGGCAAGCCAAGGTAAATGTTGGTCCTGCCCACTGCCCACTGCCCACCAAAAGCTTGGCTGGTTGTTTGCTGTTTACTGTTTTGCCAGCTTTTTGCGGTGGAATGATTAATATTTGTGCACGCCCACCACCACACCACCCCTCCGAACCGAAACGGAAATCTGGAGGGACCCATTCTAATTCAGATTCCAATTCCAACACTCAGCCTTCATCGTCTGCGGCACTTTCACCGCCTTTCTGTGCTGCCTTTTTTTTCCCCCGATAGATTTGTCCTTTTTTATAGATAGAATTAACCATAACCAATATGCCATGGAATATGCCATGTCAGAGTTGACTTATTTATTACCTTTTTGGTGGCGGAGCTTTAATTTATTTATAGGAAAAAAGATATATGATAAGGGAAATGTTTAATTGTAAAAAAGAATGATGGTAATAAATGTTATTTAAATGGTTTTTTTTAAGTTGAAAAAGCAATGAATGTTAATGGGTTTGGGGAAACTAAAGGTTAAGGCTTCTTTGCCAGCTGTTTTATGGTGAAAATTGTTAGAAAAACTGCTAATTATTGAAAATGAAAAGTTCCAAAAAGCAAAAGTTAAGTTAAAGCTAAACAAATTTTACTTCTTTAAGCTGATATATTACTAATATAATTTCTAACTATTTTTAAATAAATAAAAATATTAGCTTAAGTTGCTATCTAAAACCAATTACTATCTTAATCTCAGAAAATGATATCTCTTAACATTCCCCTTCCTATTTCCAAGCCAACGTATCATCACTGGTAATACATCCCACTGCCCACTTGGCAGGCGGGACACGTACGTTGGC